ATTTCTAAGAATATTGAATAGAAAAAGGATAAGATACGGTAACAAGAAAGAAGTAGAAATATTATTTAAAGATTAGCATCTTCTCTGGTCTACAGTAAACTGTGAGGTGGCCAAAATTAATCTTCAAAGAACCCCCAAACCCTCCTTTCTGCCTGGTCTTCCTTAGTCATCCTGATGTCATGCTCCTTCTTTTACCCGTGACAAGTTACCAGGAAAGCTCATATTCTTGCCATGACTTTTTCCTTCTCTTGTACATTCGTGACAATCCTGATAAACGAATTCACACTCAGGTCTACATGACCAGTGTAGCTGAATCTGTTCTCTCCATCAAGATTCTTTATTTTTTAATAAAAGACAGAAATTAATCTTCAAATTTTTTTAATGTCTCAGGATACTGTTACATTCATGTGGACCTTCCAGTATCTTTGAAATCACTGGGCGGCAAGATACTCCTGGGGCTGTTCATACCCCAGGCTTTGCCCACACCCGGAGTGATGCATTGGTCGCACATATTTACACTGGTCCGAGCTATATTCCTTAGCCAGAATCTGAGGAAAGAGGACCGAGACATCAATTTAACTCCAAGCTGTGGCTTGGCCCAAAAGAAGGCCTCTTCTAGTCAGTCACCCTACTGAAACCGAGTCAGTCACAGGGATCTGCTTAATGATACAGAGCAAGAGTCCCATATACAATGGTAGCCAGTCACAATACTTAAAGTTTAAGCTGAGGACAGACATCTAAAACACTCTGATTCCTCATGGTATCTCATAAAGTAGTGTAAAATATCTGTGGCCCAGAGGGAGACTAGTTAGCACTTATTAGGTATAACTGTAGTTTGAAGAGTTGCTTATAGCCAATGATGGTACACATATGTGGCCTGGGAGGTATATTTTGTAGTGGCTCTTCTGAAGGGATTTGCAAATGGAATTATTTAAATATGCTTATCATTAGCAGTTTAAATAAGTGACATTTATTTTGGCAGGAGATTAATTTTTAACTTGGCAGCTGTTTTCAGACAGATTGTTGTCAGGTTATCACAGTGACTAACTTTGAAGGAAGGAGGAATTTACAGGAGATTATTATGTTTTCAGACCTTCAAGCTTGCATCTCCCCAAAGAGGCAAATAATTTTTTATCAACGCCCTGAGACACCGGGCCCTGAAAACGCTGAAGTGTTTGCATCTTTGTGACCCGATTTCAATAATAATCCCACACGCAGACAACTAAAAATGTTCTTTTAAAGGAATTCTTTAAATATACGCCTTGGTTGATAAACTGGAGATTTATATAGAAGTACATTATAGAGGAGCACAATAGATTGGAAAGAGCTCTGAACAGAGAGTTAGGAGACCTGGGTTCAAGTCACAACTCTGAGATCACTAACTGAGTGTGGACTTACAGGAGACCTCAGCCTCGGTTTTCAATCTGTAAGATGGGGGTATTTAGAGAGGATCATTAAAGTCCTTTGGTAAAAGTCCATGTACCTCTGAAACCAGCCCAGTTTCAAGTTTTGCCAGGGTTGTCCTGTAATGTACACAAAGACCACACGGTGTCTCCCTACTTAGTGCACAATCTGAAAACCCACAGTTCCTAGATCCCATTGTCCCCAATTTTATTGTCTCGATTTTCAGTCACAGTTCATTAAGAACTAATGTCACTTGATACTGCAGCTATTGACAAGGCAGTAACCCAAAATTATGTTTGATTTTTGGCTAGCAGAATAGAAAAGATGAGGGCTTTCTTGAAGGAGTCTACTTGAACACTGCTTTGAGTTTCTTAGCAAATTTCTAGTTTACACAAAGTAATACAGAATAAATAAAATTTCTATGAAACACCATGCTGCACTACAGAAACACCATGAAGTAGTTACCAACATTTGATTCTCTCTCATGAAAAAGAAACCCCAAATAATTATACTTTCGGCAATGTAGAAATGAGTAAATATGATTATACACAATCAGAAAAAGATGACCCAAGACAACAAATTCATATCTTGGTTTCTTTTAACATAAAAAGCTATCAGAATATATGCTTTGCCAAAAATCTAAACTAACAAGTGGAAATCTAATCAATTTTCCAATAAGAAGCAGCAAAAGTAAATTTTTAAAAATATAGAAAATG